GAGTGGGCTGACCGGGTAATAAAACCTGAAAGGGTTCACCCGGAGCCTACCCCTGAGCTTGAAGATGCCTGCGAGAAACTTCTCAAGGGTGATCCTGTGACCGGTAAGCCATACGCCTACGGTGGATGGGTATATCGGTTACCTAACCCGGATGGGGGTGAATCTGCGACCCATGACGCAGAAGATGACCGGGCAAACTCCCCAGATGGTCATGCTGAGGCCAGTTCTCCTCGTCCAGGTCGATCATCTTCTCTTAAGCTTCTTACTTTCATTTTCTTTATTTATGTACAAGGCTTAAGAACTAACCAGTCATTAGTTGCTTTGTTCTTTTTTCAGACATGAACTTCAACAGGATGACCACCATCATTGAGGATGACGACGATGATGTCCAAGTCCTCCACTCCAACCGGTCTCCTTTCTCCAAGCCTTCTTCTCCTCCTTACTTCCCTGAAATGGATGGGGCCACAAGTGCCCGGTGTAGCCCTATCCATGAACAGAGCCAAAAACCGAACTCTCCTCCAGCCACCCATCTCTTTGAAAGTGACCGGGTTCCTCATCCCAAGAAGGATGTCAAGGCCAAAGGGAAGGGGACCGGTCATTCTTCTTCTCAGAAAAGGAAGAGTTCCCACAAGACTTCCAGGGGGAAAGGAGGAAGAAGGTCAAGCTATCAGATCTAGAAGGGGAATCCATCGAAGTGACCTTTTTATCCCTGGCCCAGAAACTCAGCAAGGTATCAACTCTGATTTTCCTCCCGGTTTAATTATTTCCTTCGCTTTTACTGACAAGCTTGTTTTCCAGGTCGGAGTTCTATCCGAAGAAGTTGGCCGGTCACTCCTGGAGTCCAAGGACCAGGTCTCCGAACTTACCTTCCTTCTTGATTCTGCAAAGTTGGAGATCAATGACCAGGCCGAGAGGGAGAAGAGACTTGAAGAGGAGCTGAACGAAGAGAGGGCCAGGCTAGACGAGGAAAGAGCCAAGCTGGCGGAGGAGAAGAGAAAGGTGGCTGAGCTAGAGGAAGCTTTGGGACAGGCTGAAGAATCCGTCCGGGCAAAGGAGCAGTCTTTTCTTGATGATGCTGCAACTTGGGCCGCTTGCCATCACACTGAAGTTGCCCGGTCCGTTCTCACCAAGCCGGAGGATACCATGGATTTTTTCAAGACCATGTACAAAGAACCAGAGGGCATGAGGATGATAACTGAGATCGGGTCATACGGCTTCCAGTGTGGCCAGAAGGATGAGAGGTCCCTTCTCTATGCCAGGCTCCAGAAGAGGGACCCTTCGTTTGACCCGGTCAAGATGAAGCTTCCTCCTTTGTACAAGGAAGAGCCAGCTCCCCCTTTCCCTTTGCAGTAGGTTAGGGTATTCTCCATGAAAAAACTCTGAATTTTCTTAAGGCCTGGGGGATGTCCGGCCTACTTATGATTTTTATGAGATTTAAATCTTCTTGGCATGCTCTTGAATTTTACCGGTCGATCTGCTTCAATTTGCATGGTTGAACTTCTTTTCTATGCATGGTTATTGTCTCTTGCATGATAGTTTTTCTTTTCTTTTTCTTGATCGCCTTTGAATGAACTTCCAAGTCAATAAAACTAACCGGCCTTATACCTTAGGAATCGTTTTAAAGAACGTCCAGGCCATCTCATGTTCTGATCTTGAAAACGTCCAGGCCTCGTTGGCTTGGTTGACAATTTGATTGAATATGCTTGATTCCAAGTCAAAAGAAGTAACCGGCTTTATCGTTTTTAGTTGTCCAGGTCACCTCATGTCCTGGTCTTTGGTTAACGCCTTAGAAATGTCTAGGTCTGGTAGGCTTTGTTGACAGCGTCCAGGTCTTTTCATGTTCTGGTCAATTCCATCTCTTGCAAATGTCCAGGTCATGTTATGTCCTGGTCAAGTACAAGCCTTGAAAACATCTAGGTCTTGCAACCTTGAAAATGTCCAGATCTTGTGGCCTGACTAGTCTTCTGGACCGGCTTGTGTCTAGGTTGAACTGCAACAAACGTCCAGGTCATCTCATGTCCTGGTGTAGTAGGCTAGGTTGGAAGTTTTGAAGACCACTTTAGACGCAAGGCTTGAAAACTTCCAGG